CAGCCTCTATTTTCAGCAGGACGATGTTAAACCACACGCAGCAGGACTGCGTAGCAGACGAGTCCAGGTGCCAGCTGCAGCCTCCAGCTGCTGTGCTGCTGTCTGAAACTGAGAAACTCGACATTTCAAAATTGAGCCGCCTTCACCTCTGCAGCGGCTGATTCACCTCATCAACCTTTTCTGCCTCCTGCGTTCGTTGGCTCGCTGTGCTCAAAAAACATCTTCTGAGAAGAAGTTTTGTGGAGCTCAAAAGAGAAATACAATCATTTTACTCAGATCTAAAAACATTTATTGACCAAAACAACTTTAATGTGAATCCTGTTTCTGATCGTACACGACTGCTTCCTGTTCTCAAATGTAAATGAAGTACACATCTGTGTGGGGTCAAAGCTGTGTGCCCAGAGGAGACGATGAGGCTGAACGGACCAATCGGGATGGAGGCGACGACTCAGGTCGAGCCCTGCCCCCTGGTGGTATCAGCTGGTTAAGCTGCAGATTAAAAAGCATGTTTGAGATAAACCGAAGCACGCGGTGAGTCGACACAGAGCTGCGGCTTTAACGTCATTCACGGACACGTTTAAACAAGTCAACCTGACAGGAAGCTTTTTTTCAATTTCTAGTACTTTAAAAATATTAAATATTTTTTGGTATTTTTAAATATTTTAAAAACTATTTAAAAAATATGGTTGTTGTTGTAGTAATACTTCTGGAATAATTTAGTAGGGGATAGTACAGATACAATTAGTACTGAAAACCTTTAATTTCTTGTGAGACTAATGAAATGAATCCGTGTTGTTGGTATTATGCAGCGTCCACAGTCACATGATTTGATGGATGTGCAGGTTGTGTTTGACGTGTCAGCTGTTTCATACTCAAACCTATTGTAACATAATTACACATTTACAGCTGTTAAAATCCTCTGATGTACAATAAAAAAACCTTCTTACTTTAGAATAAAACAGTTAAAACTTATAAACCTGTTTAATGTTACGATGACCAAAGCAGCGCTGCTGGTTTCAGCTTCACTTTTCATCTACGAGCCTAAACGTTCATTTAAAACCAAAAACTTAGTGTTGAAAAACAAAGATTCAACTATTTAAACAGGTTACAAGTTTGTCCTTCTTGCTCGGCAGTAAATATTTTTACAACTTGAGATCACGTCATGGAGCAGTGACTCCATCACATTCAGCTGTTTTGTGCAGTAACTTTAAGAAGATGTGGAAATGTTTACTTTCAAACGCTGAAAAGCATCTTTGGGCGTCGATCTGAAGCCTCGACCAGCTGAGCCGTGTTGATCCTGATCCAGCAGGGAGACCTTCCCTCTGCTGTGGCCTGTTCTAAGCAACCCAATATGAACCTTCAAATTTTACCCAGAATGCACTTTGTGAAGTTTTCTCCGGTGAATCAAATCGATCAAACAGCGATGCTCGTTCCTAGGGATGGGTATCGTTTAGGTTTTATCCGATGCCGGTGCCAAA